TAATTACATTTTCTCTAAGATATCTTCGATCACAAGTAACTGGTTTCTGATAACCGTCTAACTTAATATGATCTAGGCAAGTCGCTTCAAGTGCAATACTGCTAACACCACCTATATATGCAGCAACATTTTGTTATAGAGAACGGATCTAATATTAAAAGGTACAAAATATAAAGTAATATTTTCTATGACGCGATTGCATTATTGTTGAATTCAAATTGCATGCAGATATTGGGACTGGATGCAGCTGAACGTCCCCGGAGAAAAGAGCTAGAAGAAAGAAAAAAAAAACATTATGTACAAATGTACAAATATTTGAGCACGAGATTTGTTAAAACAATATTCCTTAGATTACATTTATCATATATATTAATACAGAGCTGCACTTTAACCTTGCAGTATATGAACAGTAAATGAAGCAACAACAAAATAAAACCAAGCAAAACATTGTTTTTACACCGTCTTTACGCAATATAACAAGGAACTTTGTAAAACCAACATTAATATTGTTAAAACTTTTATTAATGACATAATTATATCTCTACTATGTTGCTTATCCTGTGGCAAACTTTAGACCAAGCCATAACCTACGGTATAATTCAACGTAAATGAATAGTCGTACCTCGTGGTTTAACCCTACAGAAGAATACGTTTCATGGAATAAAAATACGAAATGCAACCTGCCAAGGTCAAAAGTAGATGAACGAATTAATACAGAGTATAAACAACAAAATGAAGAAAGAAGGAAAGCTTAGAGGCTGAAAGGGAAGAAAAATCACAAAATAATTTCTAACATGGTACGAATGGTTTTCCTATAGTATGCGCAATTTCATATTTTTTTATATTACCACACGTGAAAATATCATTCTATGTGATTCTGATTGGTCCAAATAAGCCAGTGAACTTATTGTGCATTATTATATTTTTCTGATGGCTGAGACTGTGAGAAAACGCTTTCAACCCTGCCTTCTGGATTGTTTTGATCGGAATGAACATTTTTGGCTGCCATTTTTTAAAGCTCGACTCGCGAAAGGAAACTGAGGTAATATTATATCGGATGTCTGAATATGGATATGTTATCCCTACAGGGGTTTATTATGTCACAATATCATCATAAGAAAAATGGCGTAAAATTACAAGACAAAAACAACAATATGAAGTAAAATCAAGGGTATTGCATGTCTGATAGTGGGTGGTGTGGTGGGGGAGGAAACGGTACATTTGTTATATATATATATATATATATATATATATATATATATATATATATATATATATATATATATATATATATATATAATACAATGTATATACAAGCGAAGACTAAATGTTAACTTAAAGAAGTAAAAAAACTCACATCTGTTTACAGAAGAGACTGGACATAATTGGGTCTCCTAACTGACAGAACTTTTTCTCACCACATCATCTTTACGCAGTATATATGGGATGCAAATCCGACTCGAATATAAATTTGTCAACGTTTTCTGTACCATCTATTGTTCCAAATCAAATGCTGCAAATATCGGGCAACAAAAGTGTATCAATAAATGTGGGATTGTTTTCATCCAGTAATTTTATTTGATATGAAAATCAAAGCAATGTAATAATTAGTTCTGAAAGTGACATTTTAAGGCTAAACACGTACTCTAGGCTTTCTGTACTGTGTATCGTATCAAGCAATGTGGCAGCATCACATCGCATTGATCAGTCTGTTTTGAAAAATGGTTTTGTCCATATAAAATTGTATGGGGTTTTTTTTCGGATGGAAGCTTTATCTTTAATTTATAGTTTATAAAACAACAAGTTCAACTATGTTTGGGGCTATATTTTATGCACAATAAATGAAAGATGAACCGTTAATCAGAATGAACGAAATTATTCGTTCTTCTTTCTATCTTAATAATTTCCAATGAAATTAAACAATGTGATAAAAATAATCTCAAATGTGTAATGATTTAATATTAACTTAATGAAACTCATTAAATAATGTCCGATTTTTTCGTCAAGGCTCGCAAAAGCTGGACATTATCCAACTCGATTCATAAATTCAATATTAAATCATTACTCATTTGAGATCCTATAGATATAATTTGATGACAATTCAATTAAACAGTCTACAGTGAAATTCGTGTAGAATTCAACGTAATTATTGTTTAAAACTCATAATGAGAAAATGTCAATCCTAGCATGCAGGTCATGAATAGAGAACAAAGTCATTATTTCTGTTTTTAAGAGAGATCAAATATGGAACATAGGTACAAATGAATAAAATCCTAAATATATGTACAAATAACTGAAAACCTAATCTTTGTACATATAAATAAAAACCTAAAACTATGTACAAATAACTAAACACTTAAGAATATGTACCAGTAACTAATAACCTACACATAGGTACAAATAGATAAAAACCTAAATATATGTACAAAAAAACTAAACACCTAAAAAAATAAAAATAACTAAAAAACCTAAAGTAGGTACAAATAGCAAAAAACCTAACTATATGTACAGATAACTAAAAACCTTAAATAGCTACAAATAACTAAAAACATAAACTATGTACAAATA